TTACGAGGTAGGGTTGTCACTCCTACATCCAACAGTCATAATAGACCGGGGACTGAATGACAGAGTGGCTAGCGCTCTGGAGCTCGGTGCCACACGTTTCGGGTTCGAGTCCCGGCGGTGCCATGGATGGTTGTAGTGGTTCGGAATCCACTTTAAGCCATAGGTCCCGGTCTCATTTGACTGTAGAATGTCACGGAGCCCAATCAGACTTCTCTCACCCACATCATTCCCAAACTATATAGGGGCAACTCAGCTCTAGACACAGTGATGTGGTGTGGTGTGATGTGTTGTGATGTAATAGTAGTAGTCATATTAGACAGGGACCTACGGTTTAAAGTGGATTCCGAACATCCATGGCACCGAGCGCTAGTCAGTCGGCATCAAGCACCATTCAAAGCACAGCATAATAAATTTAATCAAACTTTAATCGTTACAACAAAAACACAGTTATTCGTTTTGAAATTCTTATTTTTCAACGTTATTAAAATCTTGTTATAACGTTTCTTTTTAATTAATTTTTTTTACGGAGAGGGAGTTTCAGGAAGAAAAAAAATCACACAATCTGGATAAAGTGGTCAATTATATAGCTGTCTTTCGACTTATTACGATAGTCTACTATAGATTAAAATGTACAAGTCTCTTTGAGTCAACATAAGAATATAATTCGAAAAAAAATATATACCGAATAAAAGTATATTCAGTTTAATACTTTTTATTCGGGATTATTAACAAATTCCAAAAATATTATATGCTATAAAAAGTTCAATGTAGGCAGTTCACATTTATTATGGTTAAGTGAATTTAATATTTTGAATCGATTTAAATTTATAATTTAACTCTCATATTTGTAAAAATACACGAGAAGTATAAATAAAATAATATATGTAAATAAACATGTTTTCAAGAAAAAGCTGAAATTTCTGTACAATGAAAACTGGATACAAAACAAAATTAAAAAGTATTTTTAATTTAGAAAAGGAAAGAAAAACAATTGTTTTTTCTTAATGAAAAAATAAATAATGTTAATTTTCTACCAAAACAATAATAATAGCATTTTTATAATTAATGGAAACAAACCATTGAAATAGGAAGGCAGTTATTTGTTATATTTTCATTTCATTCATATACCTGAATCCTTTAATGCAGTGATAAATTAGCTTTAAACAAATCGAGGTTAATTAAATCCTCAACATTGTTTAAAATTTGAGTTTCTTTTGAAGTATATTGTGACTGTTTTTTAATGTTTCTTCCTCCCTCGTCAAAAATGGAATCAATATAGTTCTTCTATTATGAAAAGTGGCCTGACGGTCAATTGGCTAGAACTCTAGCCGTTGGTACCACAGGCTTCAGGTTCGAATCCTGGCGGAGACATGGATGTTTGTTAGCGGTTCAGAATCTACGTTAAACAGTAGGTCTCGGTCTAATTAGCCCAAAGTGTGCACAAAATGACCGTAGAGCAACAAACAAAACCAAATCTATTAAAAAGATGCTGCAAACTTTTTGATGCAAACTTAGGAAATATGAACGACTTACAACTTCTGATATTTAAATTTATTTCATTTATAAATAAACTATAATTTTGGTAAAATTTCTTTGAATTATTTCTCATAATTAATTAGAAAAAAATTATTATTAGATAAAAATGTTTTGGTTAATAATATCATTAAAAATTATAATTTTTTTTGCCAGTAAAATAAAAAATTGTAAACTTAGGACTTATTTTGTAACTTTCTTCCAAAAATATTTAAATTATACATATATCGAAGCGAATATACTTTACTGAATGCCTCGCAATAAATAATTTGAATTTCCAGAATATACATAATGCTGGATTTCATTCGAGTAGTTTGAAACGTCATGTATCACGAAATAAATATACAATTTTTAAAAAAAAAAAATAATTAAAAATGTTATTAAAAAGTCGATTAAAATTTGAGGACTTGCAACCAGTAGCAATAACCTTAAGGCGCCTCTTCAGAAAAAGGACGAATCCTGTTTGCCCGACCCACTTCTAAACTGTGAAAGCGTTTTTTCTGAGTGGGCAGTAATTCATGGTCACCGCACGTCTCTCAGCCCTGTTCTTCATCTCCAAAAGAAGCTTCCAGTTACAATCTATCTCTTTGAGACTTTTCATTTTAGGTTTCGTTGTCCCCAACCATTATGCTTGGACGCAAAACAATCTATTTATAGGCAATGTGTAATGGAAAAAGAAAAAAATTGTCATGTAAAATGAAAATAACAGACACTTCGCCTTACCCATGATCTTCTGATAGCTGCAACAACTTATCATTGTGAAACCTATGGTAGTGAAAATGTAGCCTAAATAAATAAGCTCGTGTTAACTGCTTCATTCATGCTCAATTGTAAGATCAGATGCTATGTTTCTAAAGTCTCCAGAATAAAGTCCAGAAGTGAGACTTTATGTTTTCATAACCAGTTTGAAATGTTAATAACTTCTAAACTACACATAAATTTGTAAAATCTAAATATATCATCCCGTTGAGAAAGGTTGAAAGATTTTAGTTGAGTAGCCGCGCGCCATGTAGCGGTTTGTTTTGTAGCTCTACGGTCCTTTTGTGCACAATTTAAGCTAAATAGACCGGAACCGACAGTTAACGTGGATTCCGAACCACTCACAAACATCCATGCCACCGTCAGGATTCAGAGCTGAAGCCTGTGGCACCAAAGGCCAGAGCTCTAGTCAATTGGCCATCAGGCCGCCGCCATGTAGCTGGGAATTCATCTAGAATCAGGCGCCCCGCTCTCAGTTCCCGCTATTATATCTCGAAATACAGACGTTTACAGGAGTGACCAAGGGCTAATTTGAAACATCTCGACGAGATCTAACTAAACATAACATTAAAAGTCACAATAAAATAATTTTATATGCATGAAATCCAGAAATGAATGAAATTTTTGGTAAACATTTTATAGCGTCGGCATATATGCAACGAATGTGGAAACAAAATTCGATGAAACGTATTGTGGAAGATAGGATTCAAGACGAATCAAAAGCCTGAAAAGTTACATGCAGATAGAAAGCATGAGTACAAGGCTCGGTGTCGAAGTTCAGCAGGCGCGATGCTTGAGTGTCACTTGTACTTGGTGCACTTAGTACAGGTGACATCACTGAGTCAATTGGCTATAAGCGATGTGGAGCATATTATAACTGTAGAGGAACATATGGACGTTGATTTCAAGAAGTTAGTGTATAGGATGATCGTTCAATTTCAATAAATATCTACACCCCTGATTCACTCATTCCTTTGTTAACTTATTTCACCCACTATCCTTCAACTCTCATGCAAATCTGTTCACGGGTATGTTTTTGTACACTAAAACAAGAGAACTGGTCCACCTTCGTTTTTTATTTTATTTTTGTATCTTAGATTTAGAGAAAAAAGTTGTCTTTGCACTTTTATAAAACAAATAATTCACTAATATAGTAACAGTTGTTTATTATAAAATTATATTTTTTGCTTTATTTTACTTTGCAATTCCATGAATATTCAGTCATTCGAGAAGCTAATGCCAACAACATTTTATAACTTACCGACATACTATAATAGAAATTTAATGATACAGCAAATTTCTGGCATAACATATCTGCTCTAAATTCATCAATTTGATGCAATGTCATTCATTCCATTTAAAAACAGCAATTAACAGAATGAATATCGTCATATTTAGAATTCAACAGCGATATGCATCTGGTGTAGAAATCATTTCCTCGAAACCTTTTTATTAATTACTCAAGTATTTGAAATATTTTAAAAGAAATGTTTTTTTTCATAGTAACAGCTTAATTAATTCTACGAAGTCAGCTGAAAATTTCGATAATTCTTTCTCGGTAATATTCCCTCCATTTTTCAGAAAAAAAATTGTTGAAGCAATTGCAGATATCCAATTCAATTTTGGGAAAATTTCGAAATTTCTTTTAATAATATTTCATCTATTTACAAAAGAAAAAAAAAACTCTTTTAAAGCAATTAAGCAGCTTTAGATTCACATCTGTTACCACACATTTTCAGAAAGAATTTTAAGGTCATATCATAAGGTTCTCTAATTTCCCACCAGGCAGTTCAGTTCGTAAATGAAGAGGAGTTAGTTGAAGGAAACAAAGCGTTGTAAACAATTTTCTCCCAGAAATCATTTCCTTTGATTTACGCGTGTGCAGCGTAAACGTATACGCTGCTCGATTATTAATGAACTGCGAATCGTTAAGTGAAAGCGTGGGCGATTCGGATTCAGTACACATGGTGGATCTAGCGCCACAGCTCATTTAAAGTAAAATGAAAACCAATGCAGCCACAAATAAGTCTTATATTTAGCACTCCATTACGACCGTAATGATGCACACGAATGGTTTCAGCCTTGAAAATCAATTAATTTTTTAATATAGCGGAAAGTGACCTCGTGATCTTGTCATTTAGTCGTGCCGTCCACTTTGTTAGCGATACACTGAATGTTATTAGGGATATTTTAAAAATACATAAGAGTACGGAAGGATGGATAGATGAAAAGGAAAGAAAAATCTCTGTCTGGTGTACTAGGAAATGTCTCGAATGATAAATATTAAAAGGTTATGACTCAGTGGACATTATCAATTGTAAATGACCAGACAGGAGTGAAAGAATAGGCTGAAATTTGAACAAGACTTTTGCACATGTAATTTGTTTTTTAAGAAAATGGTCTATATCACATTCTAACAAATTTGTATACTTTTATTATTTTTTTTTTAATAAGAATACATTAAATACATACATCCATATAACGATCACTTTAGCATTTAGCGAAACACAATGCTAAATAAAAAATAAAGGCCTTTATTTTAAATTTTTTTGTTAAATAATTATCGAATAAGGAAGAAAAGAAAAAAAAAGCCGTTTTATGATATATAGAAATATAAGGAAAATAATCAAATCAATATTATCCAGAAAGCAAATAATATCTATGAAAAGAGATAAAAGAAATAAAACTGACCATAGTTCTTAAAACACCCATCGATAGCTCAATTTGCAAATCTGTGGACTATCGGGTTGTGTAACTGATATGCATAGGTCACTGGTTCGATTCCAGATCGACGGAACACAATAATTTGGGCCCTGACGGACGAGTGACTGGAGCTTGGTGTCCCAAGTTTCGGGTTCGAGTCCCGGTGATGGTTTGTAGTGGTTCGGAATCTATTTTAAATAGTAGGTGCCGGTCTAATATGACTGTAGAGCATTGACCTGACAACCCTACCCCGTAAAAAGAAAATATCTCATGTTTCGAAATCTGCCAGTAGGCAGACGGCCTTGGCCCACCATGGGGCTGTTGTGCCAATGATGAAGACAGTTCCTCAAAGTGCGTAATTCAAACTTCATGTCTGTTTTTCATAATTAATAAGCATTTTTTAATTAACTTGCAGTTAATTTTACATTAAAAAACAATGAAATTTAAAATAATTTACAATAACTAAATATTTTTAAATTTTAGCAGTATTCAGAAAAACTATCATATAACATGTAAAATGCACTACGAACACAAGGAATATTAAAATACGTTAACTAACAAAAATTGTAATAAAAATGGTACATATTTATTGCATGATTACAGAAAAAATTTACATCACTCATAGAAGAAAAGAATTTTCGTAAAATAAATAATGTATTTGCTTAATGAAGTAGCAATAACAAAGTGATGCGCCATTATATCAACATATTTTTTTTTTTAAAGTTGCGTAAGAGAAATTTTGTTTAAATAAAAAAAATATATATAAGAAAGATCATTGGAATTAAAACTTAATTCTTGGATTCTTCTTGCACAATTTATTGACGCAAGATTCATTATGTCATACAAATTACCCATTAAAACCGTAAAGAATAACTTACTAAAAATACAGCAAGAAAAACACGGAAGTAAAACACAACAAAGAATTACTGGGAATTTCAAACAGGAACGAAATTGCTTAATGTTGATCGACAGTTACGAAATTTAAATTAAGAATATATTGGAGGAATGTTTTTATTACTCTGAAATCTAATTTATGCATCGTAATATCTTGAATTGCATTTTAATTTCCACAGCAAAGAGACCGATTTTTTTTTTATCGTCACATAAACCTTAAAAATAAATATACTTATTAGTTATTAACTTTATTGAAATGCAAGAATTTTTCTCGTTGTTTAATATATTTTACAAGTGGCCACAATTTTTTCTTGCAAAATTTAAACAACGTGATAGTAATTTAATTCAGTTAATGTATTACGTAGAATACTCCTTCGCAGACAATTTACAAATAATTAATTTATAAATTGCTCTATGGGCCTGAATGGCCGAGTGGCTAGCGCTCTAGCGCTCGGTACCACAGGTTTCGGGTTCGAGTCCCGGCGGTGCCATGGATGTTTGTAGTGGTTCGGAATCCACTTTAAATCGTAGGTCCCGGTCTAATAGGATCGTAGAGAGTTGCGGGGGCATTGTTACTCCGCGTCCGTGGCTTATCTTCAAGTTACACGCGCCCCTGGGTAATGCAAAGTGAGTAACGTCTGTGCAGCGCTTGTCTTAAGGCATTCAAGACAGCTGTCTATGTGTTTGCCAGCTGCATTAGAGAAAAAAAAAATAGATTGCTCTATAGAACGTGGGATCCTTTTGTGATCTGTATACTCAATTCAGAGTAAAACTTTATTTCTATTCTGATTCCTAATTGACTACAATTTTAAAATCAAAATTACTCAAAGAGCTGCGTAATATTTTTCATATTAATGTAGACAATAATTTAAAGCAGTATCGAAATCTTTTACACGTATAACAAGATACGTTTGTCGTCATTGAAATATCCCACTATAGCTAAACGATCAAACTTAAAAGTCAAGCAATAATTACAAATTTCTAATAAATTAATGTGTTGAGAAAGAAGTACATATATTATTAATGTATCACATTTTGTTTTTGCAAAATGTTTAATAATTGAAGCTATTTATTTTATAACTTTATTTTATGTATTAGCAAACATTATTCTAAGAGATTTTTGATTTTTACAGATCAAGACCACTGGAACGAAACAGGTAAGGAATAACAATATAATTGGAAAAAAAAGTCTGCCTCACCAAATTGGAAAAAATAAATAAAAATTTTAATCTTAAATTGTAATAAACGAACAAAAAAATAAATAAATAAACAAAATTTGTGTTTCAGTAAATAAAAATAAATTAAAGTTTAAAAAAAAAAAATACGCTTTTAGAGTTAATCAATCTAAAAAAGATGTAAAAAATAATTGTTAACAAAAATAAAATGACTGACGAGAAAATGAATGTCACTGTTCTAAAAGCGTGAGGTGCTCGATATCAATGGTTATAATTTTCACTAGTTTCATTCCGAAATGCAATTAAAAAATGTCATACAAAGCACCCCACGCTTTTAAACAGTGACATTCAAAATATTCTTATGTTAACAATTATTTTTTACTTTTTAGATTGAATTTTTTTAGTAAAACTATTAATTTATTTTTTACTTTTTAGTCTGATTAACTCAAAAGCAAAATAGTTTTTTTAAACTATAATTGTTTTTACTTTGTTTTCCATTGGCCGGTTAAAAATACTAAGTTTACATACTTTTTACCCACCGCGATTTTCGGCCAATAGGAAGAGCGTAATTCGACATGATCGCACTCCATGCCTTTGAGATCCGCCTCTTTTTAGCCACCGAAATTTTCGGCCAATAGGAAGAGCGCAATTCGATCGCAGATCAGTTGACTGACTCGCCAGTAGATGGCACCATCAGTCCCAAAATCGAGCCCAAAAAGTGAGTTACATACAAACATACAGGTGAAGCTAATAAAAGCGTATTAAAAACAAAATACACTTACTCTTTTGCGCCATAAAATATCATAAATATTAATTTAAATAAAACTTATAAATATATACTTTAAGCAAATAAGGTGCGAATTGCATGAAAGCAATTTCATATACTTTTAGCATAAGAATATAAATTCCTGCAATTTATATTCATGCTATAAATTTAATATCATGATAATGCTACACTTATTAAATTAAAGCAAGCAGGCATAGCATCAACGATTTTTTCATACACAATAAAAATGTTAAAATGTTACCGGTGAAATAATGCTTACTATTTTTATTAGACGTTAACATTCAGATTCACTTATATAATGCAATCAGTAACTTTTATTTTCAATATTTTTGAATTCACATCAAGTACTTCAACGTTATAATGATCGCGTAATACAGATTATATTTATAATATCTACACAGAAGAATGCTATGCAACATAATTTCTATTTTAAAAAAAAACATTTAAATCGAAAAGAAATTGCTGTAGTTTTCTAGTAATGGAAGAATTAAATTGATTTTAAAACTTGATGAAGATAAAAAAATTTTATCAACTAAAATATTACAGTTATTAATAATGCACTAATTCCACGGCCAAAAATTCAAATTTAACTGTAAATATTGAGAAAAAAGAAAGATTTGTGGAACTTATTTAGCAAAAATTTTGCAAATATATTAAACATTGCCAATAATTAGATAGAAAAAAATTATTAATAAAAAACTTCCCCAAAATCAGAATTTACACATTTTTCTAAGCCGATTTTTAAAATAAAAAATAATTATGCTGAGAGATGCATTTGAAAATAATCAAAATATTATTTTCCCGCTAAACGTACAAGTTTTAAAAAAATCCCAAGTATATGCAAAGTATAAACAAATTCTGTAAATTTCACTAAAATAAATTATGAGATTCTTAAAAATAAGGGTACTTCAACTTCACCTTTACGGTACACAATGGCTGTTTTGAAAGTACAAGAAATAAACATTGGACAAATCCCTACACAAAAAAAGAAATCCTTGAGGAAGATAGCGTCAAGAATTTTAAGCACCCATTTTGAAAGAAGCAAGGATAGTTGCTTTCCACACAAATGCCCAAACCTTGGAAGAATCAACGCCCTAAAGGTTAACGAAGAATACATGATTCAAACAACGGATGAACGGCTTAAAAATTAATTTTTAGAACCAGGGAAAATTTTAAAATAAATTCATTTACCGATGGAAAAAAAAAATGGCAGTATTACTAATGTGTCCAAAAAGTAAAACCAATTTTCAATTTAAAATTCCCGTGGCTTATGGAATTTCAATTTTTTCTTTTTCTTTTTTAGGTTGCTTTCACTGTTCTTGACATCTGTGTGAAATATTCATTAATGTTTGAGTTACGCTTGGCTTTGTGAGACGCTAAAACTGATTCCGGCGATTTTTGAAATGTCTGAATTAAATTAGCAAAGAATTTGCATCAAATTTGTTTGCGGAATGAATATTCGTGTGCAGAAACGTATAGAATGTTGCAGAAGGCATTCGGTGAGCATTCCTGTATCGGAAAGAAATGTTTACAAGTGGTATAAACAGTTCAAAGAAGGCAGAGAACGCGTTGAAGACGAAGAGCCTTCTGGTCGACCATCAACATCAACCGACGTAGCGCACGTCCAAAAAATTAAAAATTTGGAGCTTGCAAACCGTCGATTTACAATTAGACTTTGCTGATGATGTTGAAATTTCAAAAGGATCGGTCAATTCCATTTTGGGCCTCAAACGCGCCAAATCTCGATTGGTACCGAAAACACAGAATGCGCCAACTCACACTTCCTTGATTCTTCGTGACTCTTTCGCCAAAAATGAAACCCATATTCGTTCCACAACCACCGTATTCACACCGTGCAACTTCTGGCTATTCCCTAAACTCAAAAGACCACTCCGGGAACACCGTTTTGAGTCGATTGAAGAGATTCAACGTGAATCAGCGCGAATTTAAGAGAATAAAGAGTTTTTGAAAAAAAAAAATAATAATTGGTCTTACTTTTTGGGCACAGTAGTATGCCACTTATAGACAAGGATGTTAATAAAAATATACAAGATTTTGAAAATACTTTTAAGTTTTTTTTTCTAAAAAGTTGATAGTTCTAATGCTTTTATTCATAATCATTAATTCAGAGGAAAAGAGAAATGAAATTAATTCTAGGTTAAAGAAAGATTAAAAATGGATTTTGTAGAGTAAGCAAAGAAATTACAACTTCATTCAGCAAAAAAGAAAGATGAAAC